GGCGGTGGGTGGTGGGAGGGCGTCTGCGCTGGGCTGCGACGGATGGACAGACGGGGATCTGCAAGCAGGGAGGAGAGAGGTCACCACCGGTCCTGCTCCAGACTCAGCCATGGCCCAGCCACCAAATGGACACACAGAGCAGAATTTGGCTTTTTTTCACTCATTCCCAGAACCCATGTGCCCAAACCCATCACCTCCACCTCCTCCTCCCAGGGATGAACCCTGCCCAAGGACATTTTTGAGATGCGTCTTTGCATTTTCTGGTCCTGGGCAATTTTTCTTCCATCACTACGCAAGGGTCTTAGATTTCCCCATGGTTTCTTTGCTTCCTAAAAAATCAGCAGTGGAGAGGGAAGAGGTCTGCTGACAACGCATCAAAGACTGGCCCCGTTGCAGCCTTTGTGGGAAATGTTTGAAAAGTCATTTTTGACTTCTCCACCAGAACACCCCATCTGGAAAAGCAGCCAGATTTGGTGCATTTAGAAAAAAAAAAAATAAATGCAAGAAAACACCAAATGGCTCATTCTCAATGCCCTTCACCCACAGCCTGGTTGGAGCATCCTCTTCCCAACCACGCTGGAGCCCCTGAGGTCTCCATATCCCTGCCCCCTCCCAGCACTCACACTCCCTCTCACACCCCCGGTTTGGGAGATACTCACTAAATAAAGAGGACACCATAGGCAGCCAAGACCAGTCCAGCTGTCCAACACACTGCCACGGCCCCGCTGCCCACCACAGCCCCCTTGTCGCAGATCTTGGTGGTGGGGGGCGGCATGAAAGAGGAGGTGCTAGCGCTCGTTGTCTCTGTGGGGAGGGAGAGCAGATGGTGAGGGGGAGCCGGGGTGCCCCAGGATGCATCCCTTAAGGGCAGCCCCGTTCCCCCGACGGTGGGGACAAGGCACTGTCTCATCCCCAAACTGCCCCTCTCACTGCCATGCCACCCCAGGGCTGAGCTGGGAAGCTGGGATGATAGAATCATCGAATCATCTAGGTTGGAAGGGACCTTAAAGATCATCTAGTCCAACCATCAACCTAACTCTGACAAAAAATAAATAAGAAATAAGCAATAAAAAAAATCACTAAACCATATTCCTGAAGACCGTGTCAACCCATCTTTTGAACACCTCCAGGGATGATGCCTCAACCACTTCCCTGGGCAGCCTATTCCAATGCTGGATAACCCTTTCCGTGAAGAAATTTTTTCCTAATATCTAATGATGACCCAGTGGATGGTGTGGTCCACGAGACTTTCCCTGCTCTAACACTGGACCTACTGCTCAGAGATGGTTGGACCACCAGGGAGAGCCGGACATCTCTCCTGGCTCCATCCTGCCCCACTGAGCTGCTCTCTGCATCAGCTCTGTGGGAATTTTGGCTAAGAGCTCATGATGGCATGGCCACAAGTGCTCAGCAGATAGCATCCCCTGCCCAGGGAATGCCCCAGACATGGCCGTGGCTGCTGGGCTGGCTTGCAGGGCTTGTCCTCAGCCATATGGGACCAGCCATTGTCTGTGCCCACAAAGGGCTGCAGGATCACACAGAGAGCATGGGTGGGCAGTCAGGCTTCAGTCACATCCAGAGGGTCCCAGAGTACCCCTTGCCAGTCAATGGGGAGAGGGGGTGCTGAGGGCCACTGGGGGGTCTGTCTTGGCATCTTTCAGACCCCACCAATGTGTCACGGCAAGGCTCAGCCCCAGAGGTGGGATGCCCCACATCAGCCAGCTGCACGCACAGGGACATGTGTACGAGGGACACGTGTGTGAGGGACATGTGTGTGCCTGCACGGGATGCAGCCAGGTGCCGTTTGAAGAGTTATTGGCATTTATCACGGGGTGGGTACAGAAGCAATCCCCAAACCCTGTCACCAGCATGGTCTGCCACCACTCCTTGCAGGGGCTTACCCCACTGGGGATGAGGGGCTGCAAATCCCCCCTGCTGCCTGAATCCCCAGGTGCTCTACTGGGCTTGGAAGGTGGGGGGCACTGAGCATCCCCCCTCCCTGCACGCACATCTGGCCAGTTCACACACGTGGCCCCCCAGTAGAAGCCCAGTTACTGACTGCCTGCACACCAGTGCTTCCCCCCCAGCCCCCGTGTCGGTGCCAGCCGGGGGAACTGGCACAGGGTCCGCTCCAGCCCTTCTGGGAAACGGAGGGCTGATAACGCCCATTTGGACACCGTCCCAGCTCTTTCCTAGAAACAGAGGCTTGTTAACTTTGTGGCTTTTATTTCCAATTGGCATCGCTCCGAGCCATTGTGCGGGGTCGGGGTTGTGGTGGAGGGGACAGGGCTGGAGAGGGAGAGCTGGAGGTGGGCAACGCTCCAGGTCATAATAACAAAAATAAAAATAATACAATAACAATAAATAAAAGAAATTAATAATAATAAATAACAACAATAGTACCACCCCATATTCCTTGTCACACCCCAAGCATTGTGGTGAGGATGCTGGAGGCGGGTGACCTGTCAGCACCCCTTGGGCCACAGTTCTACCTGCTGGCCATGGGTGGGGAGCAAACTGTAGGGTGAAAGGCTACAGCATGTGCCCCACCATTCCTCCTAAGTGCCAGGGGGATCCCCTTGGCAGGGGATGAAACTTGCATGGAGCTGGACAGGGGGGACCCTCAGCCAGAACTCCTGGGCTCCCCTCAGCTGTGGGCACAACCTGTTGGTACTGGGAAGGAGGGGCTCTCACCTGTGACCTGGGCCTCCGTGGTGAGATGCTTGGGTTCCTCCGTCCAGGGGGTGGCATGGACAGCCACGCTCCAGTCACTCCACGTGCCAATGTCATTGTCTTTGGCCGCCACCTGGATGATGTACTCCTTGCCAGCATAGGCATCCGTGATGGTGTGGGATGTCCCGTCTGACAGCTCAACCTGAGGGCAGCAGTGGAGAGGGGAGGGTGGTCAGAGGAACCCCCAGCACCAGAAGGTGTAAAAGCTCAGCTAGAGGATGGTAATGAGATTTTCGCAGCACTCTGGGAATTGTTACAGGGCTTTGGGCCGAGACATGAGCCCAGGACAGAGATGCAGGGGGAGAATGCTCCAGCTGCAGCTAAACCAAAGGTCTGGTGAGACCCTGTCCCGCTCCCAAACTTGTATTGCTGGAGCAGAGCAGCTTCCTCTAGAGGTCACCAGAAACAAGCAGATGTGTGGGCGGGCTCAGCTCAGACATGTTAGGGCTTTCTGGGCATCACTGCCTGTGCTGAGAGCAGGCTTGCCCCACCAGCACACTTCTGGTCACCCTGGTCCTGTGCCTCCTATTGTCCCACCGGCTTGGCTTACATCACTCTGGCTGAGCTCTTGAACATGGATCAAGCCATGTCCAGCCATTTTTCCTAGAAAAATTCCCTTTGTCCTGTTGTCACTGCTGCCTGGGCCACGGGAGGTTCTGCTGTCCTCCTGGAGATGAGATTGCTGCTGCAATGGCTTAACCCCAGACTCTCTCCACACCTTGAAGGAATCTCTGACCAAGTTGGGAGCTTGGCACAAGGACAGGGAGATACAGGTGGTCATCATAAATGCATCTCCATAGCATGGCCACCAGTGAGCAAGCATGCCTGGCTGACAGAGAAGGAGGGCTCAGCACCCAACTGACCTTCCATGGATGAAGCCAGGGTCAGCCTGGCTATGGACATGGAGTCCAGGGTAGGAGCCTCCTGCAGAGGCTGTGTGGGAGATCACCTTCCACCCAGTCTGTGAGGCAGAGGACCAACACTCTGTCAGCTTCATTCCCACCGTGTGCTGCCTGTGCACAGCATGGAGGGGGACACTGGGCACACCTTGTCCTTCACCCATGCTCTGGCTGACACAAACCACCTTCTCTCCAGACACCTATGATAATAAAGACACTGGGGGAATGAGGGATGGTGCAGGTCTGATGCAGCCCATCCGAGAGTGACGGTGCCCAGCCAGGGGCTCATGCTCGAGCAGAACAAGTGTCACTTCATGGGTGGGAGGACTTTCAAGGTGCAACCTGCCTGGGGTCCTCCACATCTCCCAAGCCACCCAGGAGAAGGTCAGGCACAGGATTCCACTCCTCTGAGGAGCACCAACAGCTGAATTTTATTAAGAACTCAGTTCAACAACAGGAGCAAAATGGAGCTGAAAACTTCTGCATGATCCTTGGTCACATCCTGAAGCCCAAGGAGAGAAAAGACGCACCACTGGAGTGCTTGGGGGTACCTGGGCCAATGCCCCTGTGGGACAAGGCTGCCCTGACACTGTGGCTTTACACACGCAGGGATGGTGTGCACACCAAGGATGCATGTGATGGCCTGGACAGTGGCCGGTGTAGTTAACCTTATCACCCCACCGCTTGCAGGGGTACCTGAAAAGCAGGATCCCATCCTGAGAAAGACCCAGCCCTTTTCCAGTCCCCCCACTACAGCACAGGTGACACCCCAGCACAGATTTAATCCCTCCGGGACACAAACTGCAGCCCGCTTGGCTTTTACAGCTGCTCTGGGGCATCCCTACCAGGGAGGGGGGCACTTTTGCTTTCTTCCTCCAGGTGAGACCCTCTCCTTCCCTATTTCCTCTCCTGGGGCCACATCCAGCCTGCTGCCCGGCATAGCTCTGCAATCCCAGCTGCTCATGCCACCCAGCCCAAGCCTGCAGGAGCATCACATCTGGAGCACATCTGGAGGCAAGCCTGGCCAGTCTCCCCCGCCCCCAGCCATTGGGGAGCAAATGGCCTCCTGCTGCCCAGGAGGTGTGAAGCTGCTATCAAACCATCAGGGGAGGGATGTGGAGAGAGGTGAGTGACTGTCTCATGGCTGCAGATTTTGGGGCTGGACAGGGGGAGGCCAAGTCCTGCCTCTCCTCACACCACCATCTCGGGGCTGACACCCACAGCACTGGCGGGATGCAAGCAGGGGATGATGGTGGTTTCACTGCAGGGTTTGTGCCAAGCTGAGATGTGCCTAAGCCCTAAACCCCTATTAGCCAAAGCACTGGGACAACTGAGTCCATCCCTACCCACTGCGCCATGGGTCTTGCCATTGGGTCTGACCCATTGGCACTGGGGCAGCTCCTCGGGGTGCCCATCAAGGGGGTCCAAACTCAGAGCCTGGATGGAGGGAGCCTGGCATGGTGTGCAGATGAGCCCAGTGACCCCAGTGAGGATCTGTACAGGGTGTCCCTGAGTTTCCAGCACACCGAAGAGGCTGAGGAACAGACCTGCTCCCATCCTGGAGAAAAAAGAGTTTTGGTTGATTTCTCTTATGGGACAGGCGAAAAGTGAAATACTGTGAGGTCTGGGCAGAAGGGAGGATGGGGAAAAAAGATGAGGAGGATGCTCAGGTGAGCATCTGATGAGACCCCACCTGCAGTACTGCGTCCAGCTCTGGAGCCCTTAACACAGGAAAGGCATGGACCTGTTGGAGCAGGTCCAGAAGAGGGCTACAAAAATGATCGGAGACATGGAACATGTCTCCCCTGAGGACATGCTGAGTGAGTTGGGGTTGTTCAGCCTGGAGAAGAGAAGGCTCCAGGAAGACCTTATTGTGGTCTTTAGTACTTAAAGAGGGCTTTAAGAAAGACAGGGACAAACTTTTTAGCAGGGTCTGTTGTGATGGGAAAGATAAAAGAGAGTAGATTCAGACTAGATACAAGGAATCCATCTTTTACTATGAGGGTGGTGCCACACTGGCACAGGTTGCCCAGAGAGGTGGGAGATGCCCATCCCTGGGAACATTCAAGGTCAGCTTGGACAGGGCTCTGAACAACCGGATCTAGCTGATCTAGCTGACGACGTCCCTCCTCATTGCAGGGGGGTTGGACCAGATGACCTTTCAAGGTCCCTTCCAACCCAAATTATTCTATGATTCTATGCCAGTCCCTCCTGAAGACACAGATGTGCATCATCCAACCTGTGAGGGGTCTCGGCTGAGACCCATCCCACCACCCTACCAACCTCCAGCCCTCCTCAGCCCAGGACCAAAATCCGAGCTGGGTCAGGGTCCTCAGAGGTGACAGGGTCTTGGCACCCACCGCTGCCCTCAGCAAAGCTGAACAGCCCCATGGCACAGTGAGGCTGTCCTGCCACCCAGACCCTGGGATTCATGCCTCTGCTACCAGCTCTGGTCACCACTCGCTGGCGTGCTGCTTGTGGGCACAGTGGGATGGGATGCACCTGCAGCACCGTCCACACCACACAGCAGGGACCCACCTGGGTGGGATCAGCCCAGAGCCGTTGGGTGGCATCCACCAGTTCTGGCAGGAATGCCAAGGTGATCAAGCTCAATTAATTCCTAACAACAACTAAATTAAATGAAACCTGGCTGAGGGAGCTGCCAGCATCTCAGGGGGAAAGCCTGCTTCTCCCAGCTTGCTGGGAAGCAGGGAATGAGCACAGGGCTTGGAAAGATGCTGGGGTTATCTGGCCTGTGTGGGACCTCTCTAGGTCCTTCACGATCCTCTGAGGTCCCCAGCTGCTCACTGAGTCCTGTGGCAAGCAGGATGCAGGCAGGCCAGCCCCACTGAGGTCCTGATGGTCTGGCCAGGCTACCACTCCATCTGGAGAATTTTTTCCAGCCCAAAAACTTATCAATGCCTATAAGTACCCAAAGGGTGGTTTGAAGGAGGAGGGAGCCGGACTTTTTTCAGCGGTTGCCAGTGAGAGGACAAGGGGTAACGGGCACAAGCTGGAACATAGGAGGTTCCACTCAAATATTAGAAAAAACTTCTTCACAGTGAGGGTGACAGAGCCCTGGAACAGGCTGCCCAGGGAGGTCGTGGAGTCCCCTTCTTTGGAGATTTTCAAGACCCGCCTGGATGCAGCCCTGAGTAACATGCTCTAGCTCTAGTCAGCAGGGGAGTTGCACTAGATGATCTCTATGGTTCCTTCCAAATCTAAAAATTCAGTGAAATTCAGTGAAATTCAGTGAAAACCCTCCGGGCTTAGCACTTCACCTTGGGAGCAATTCCTGCCTCTCCCCAGCCACAGCCAACCTGCAGCTGAGCGTTTGCACACAGGGTGCCTTGCCTGGGGGCAGATGTTCCCCCAGGATCCAGGCTGGAGGACCTGGAGGACCTTCCTTGTAGGACCTGGGATGATGCTGCCCTAAGTTCCTCTTTAGACAGCAGACAAAAAGAGAAGGCATCCATCTCTCCCCATACAAACGATGTCTGCACGCAGGGCTTCTGAGCTGGGCAGCCAGTGGACACATCCAACATTTGCTGTGGTGGGTGAGAAAGTCCCTGGGTGGATGCCTGTGGCTCAGCACAGAAGTGCAGCAGCAGATGGGAAAGTACACGGGGACCGGGTCCAACTGGTCACAGACAGGGAGAGCTGGTGGTGTGGGGGGGAGTCGACACTGGGGAGGTCGTGGGGGGAACGGATGGACACACAGCATCAAAGGCAGAGGGAGAAATTCCTTAATCCGCGTCCCCGCCACACAGAGACAAAAGTTGGAGGAAGGCTGCGCATGGTAATTTTTTTGGCCAGGGGGTCTGCGAGTCGCTGCCTGCCTTTGTGCACCTGCCAAAAGTCACTCCGGCTGGCTGTGAAGTGCTGCCCAGATTAATGAGGGATCAGTAGCCAGTGCAATGCAGAGCTATTAGCATTGCAAAAAAAAAAAAAAAAAAAAAAAAAAAAAAAAAAAAAAAAAAAAAAAGGGGGGGGGGAAAGAAAAAAAAAAAAAAAAAAGGGTTTAATATTTTTCCTAGAACTTTTTTTTTTTTTTTTTTTTTTTTTTTTTTTTTTTTTTTTTTTTTTTTTTAAAAAAAAAAAAAAAAAAAAAAAAAAAAAAAAAAAAAAAAAAAAAAAAAGAGGGAGGAGGGAAAAGAAAAAAAAAAAAAAAAAGCCCTTGAACCCAGTAATTCAGCCGACAGTTTGCTAAGGACAGCGTGGGCTGGGATCTCATTCCCTGCCG